TTACATATTTTTTCAAGCCTCCCAAAAAACACGGGAGAGCACATCCGTCAACAATAGCAATTAACAAAGAACACAGTGCCCCCCCCCCCCCCTCTCGCGCTCGCTCAGCCCGCGCCGAGCTGTACACCTGAGAATCGCCACGCTTTACTTTTTAATGGTGCCGCTAATTGTCGGGTTAACAATGGGGCCCGCCGCCGCCGCAGATGCTCCGCGCGCGTCCTCCGTGGGTTGCAGCCAGCACGTGGCCTTTCAATCATAATGGCACCGTAATGGCATCTATCAGCCCCTATTAAATGCGCACAGATGGCTCTCGAGGAGGAAGAGTGAGAGAGAGAGAGAGAATGAGATGCGACGACGTTGTGGCGTTGGAATATAAACATATACACGCCGTGCGTGCGTGCGTGCTCGCGCGGGTACGTGCGCGTGTGTGCATAACAGCACTTGCCCCAACATTCTGTCGAGGCTATACGGGGGACCTTTGTCTTTGCATAACAGCAGCACGTGCCCCGACAATCAAGTTGATGTATGTACGTTGAACTTCTTTCGCACCGCACTAGCCAACCGTGCTCATTGGAGGTGTTGAGGCCTATATGGGGGATCATTGCCTTTGTATACACATGGGGAGCGGTAGTGCAGTGGTTAGCGCTACGCTGCGCTACGAACCCGGCTACCCGAGTTCGATTCCTGCCCATGGCCACCAACACCGGTGACGATTATCCAGACCGGACCTGGGCCTCCACAAGGTCGACTCGGCCTCAAATGAGTACCTTGTGCGGTGTGTAAACATCGCCACTGGGGAGACAAAGGCGACCTGGCATCGTGCTGGCCACTCGTGTGCCGTGCCGGTCTTCATAGGTGCTACTCGCCAAAAGCACTTGCTCCTGCAGAATGTTAAGGCTATACGGGGGATCTTTGTCTGTATACACGACTAGTGGGGAGGAGGAGGAGGCGGGGGGGGGCGAAGGCTCTTAACGAGCTCAGCCACCCAGAGTTCCCACGGGATGGGTAAATCAAGCAAAATACCAGTGTGTGGTGTGTGCGTGCGTGTACGTGCCATGCGTGCACGTGTGTGTTGGGAGGGCGATGTCTTGGGAGGGTGAGCGCACCGCGCTACGAACCCGGCGACCGGAGTTCCGATTCCCGCTCGCGGCGACCAACACACACAGTGACGATTATCTGAACCGGTCGTGGGCCTCCCCTAGGTCGACGCGGCCTCAAATGCGTACCTGGTGCGGTGTGTAGTAAACATCGCCACAGGGGAGACAAAGGCGGCCGGGCGTGGTGCTGGTAACCCACCCCCCTCGTGTGCCGTGCCGGCCTTCACAGGTGCTGCTCGCTATCAGCACTTGCCCCGACGGCAAGTTAACGGCTACATAAGGGGAATCTTTGTCTTTTGGTGTGTGCGGGGGCTGCGTTGGCTGGGTGTCATGCAGCCCACGTGCCCGGCCACCGCATGCCCGAGCAGCTTCTGTTTGACCGGATAGAGGGAGTTAAACTGGTGCGGCACGGGCTGGAGAAGGGATGGGGTGACACGGCAGAGGAGGATGTGGAGCTGGGTGGACTTGGCGATGACTGAAGGAATGCTACTGGGCAGTCGGAGGCAGCTGCCCTCCAAAAGCAGTGCAAGGCGGAGGAGCAACGCTCAAAACAACAAGCGGAGCGATGGGCGGCTAATAATTCTGCAAGTTGGCAGACGGGGAGCACAATTGGTGCATCTGTCAGTCGTATCAGTAAGTTAGCCATAACACCTGGGTCTGTCCCGTGACCTCCTGTCAGCGAGCCTTCAACACTTCAAGTAGCCTCAAAGTGCATCTAGCCTGGCACAAGCGCTGTGGTGGCGTCACCGCCACTTAGTGGTGAATGGCAGCTGTTGTTGTTGTGTGTGTGAAAGAGAGCGTGTGTGTGTGTGTGTGGGGAGCGGTAGTACAGCATCAGCACGCTGAGCGTGGCGCTGGCCACCAACTCCCTCATGTGCCTTCATAGGTGCTCGCTAACAGCACTTGCCGCAACAGCAAGTTAAATGCTATACGGAGAGTCATTGCATTTTGGGAATGTGTGTGTGTCTAGAGTTTCATTAGCTCTACCGACTATTTTCCGTATTGTTGGTAGCCTGGAGTCGACGGCGTGAATCGTAGCCACAGCGAGTCCAATACCGCCGGATGTGTGGTGTGCTGCTGGATGCGCAAATAATTTTGCAGGTCGCTGATCGAGACAGGCCCAGCTGTGATTAAGACCCCACCACCATATTCGTCGTCATCATCATCATCACCACCATCATTATTATTATGAAGCAAGTGCTGTGAGCGAGCACCTTTGAAGGCCGACACAGCACACAAGGGAGGGAGGGGGGGGGGGGGCCAGCACCACGCTGGGACGGCTTTTGTCTCCATCATTAACCGTCCCATCACCGCCATCACCACCACCACCACTCGGGTTGGCACTCAACAAAGGCATTCTCAACATCGTCCTTTCTTTGAGGCAGATGTCCTGGGAAATCTGAGAGGCTGCCCAGAATGTTAAGAGCCCCGGTTTTTAATACGACACCACTCAACGCGATGCATTTCCATGCAGTTTTTGTTTTGCCTCTTCTCTTCCTGTGGCATATTCGTATTCTTCTTCTCCTGTTTACGGTAAAACCTTGGATTGCGAGTAACTTGGTCTGCGAGTGTTTCGCAAGACGAGCAAATTTGTAAAATAAATATTAATTTTGATAAACGAGCGAGGGTCTTGCAATACGTACGTGTCTACGCTTTGTACTGTCGAGCGTCACGTGATCACAACTGATATACGAGTGCTTTGATATACGAGTGCTTTGGATTACAAACACGTTTCCGGATCGAATTATGCTCGCAATCCAAGGTTTTACTGTATTTGAATCTCTGATATGGCAATCCTCGTCCACCATAACTACTGCTACCACCAACACTAGAACCAGCATCACCACCATCACGAGAATCACCACAATTATCATCACCAACACCACCACCACGTATTCCTACACCAAAGACAAAGATCCCACGATTGCTGGCCTATGAAGGCTGGCAAAGCAACCGAGGGGGTGGGTGACCAGCACTATGCCGGGTCACCTTTTTCTCCGCGGTGGCGATATTTACACACTCCAGCAGATACTCATTTTGAGGCTGAGTCGACCTAGGGGAGGCACCGGACCAGCTTAGACGAGCGTCATCGGCATTGGAGCCCGTGAGCGGGAATCGAACTCGGGGAGTCATGACCGTGTTTCATAGCGCAGCGTGCTCACTTTCGTGTTGAACTTAAACCGAACTTCTTTTACATCGTACGTAGCCAACGGTGCAGGGGAAGGACAACAATCTAAAAGCAAAAAGCAGTTCTAAAGAAGTGAGTTTGTCAATCTCGATGACGACTTAAAAGTTGCGTAGCTCCAGTGGTTTCCTTATACCGGAAGGAAGAGCGTTCCAGACGGCCGCAGAAGTCCGATCTGAAAGCGCGCGATGCAGTGCGTGAGTCTATGGGTCTCTGTGTGATGAGTCTATAGGTCTCTATGTACGCATGTTGAACTTCTTTTGCACCGTACGTAGCCAACCATGCTAGTCAAAGGTGTGGGGGGAAAGTCAACAAACTAAACACAATGAGCGTTTCTAAATAAATGAGCTTTTAATCTAGATTTGAAAGTGCATAGCTCCAGTGGCTTCCTAATAGTTGATCAAACGTCTCCTGCTCCAGCCTCACAATAAGCGGTGGGATCATTGGAGAGGCGGTTAGGTGCCTCAAGGTTGAGGGACAGATATTCTGCATTTTAATTCGGGATTCAGCCACTCGTGGTTAAACCGGCTTCTGTAGACCAGTTCGTCGATGGGTAGGCCGCTATGGTGGGCCAAAGTGTGTCCCCCCCGAACTCCCGCCTCTCAAAACAGTCTGGCCAGGGTGGAAGAGTAGGCCAAGTACCCTCTCTGGAGCTCCCTCGAGTAGAATCCCTTCCGCCAGCAGCGGCAGGAGCAAGGGAATTCATTTTTATTATCACTATTATTATTTTGACTTAAAAGCTTTCGTGACTGCAGGAATTCATATTCTTTGGGTCTTTCGGTAAAGTCGATTCCAAAAACAATAAAATAAACGAAAAAACTAGGACGTTTAGAACTTCGTTCTGATACCAGGACGTCTGGGCTACACCCATTTTAAACTTTTAAAGACAGCTTGCCTTTAGTGGTTTCCCCCGCCTTTTTACACCTGATGACGATTGCTTGTGTTGCGATTCGTTAATCTTATTACTTTTTGAACCTACCCACGTGACTTTACCTAAAGACCCAAAATAATACTATTATTCTTCTTTGGTTCTTTCGGTAAAGTCACGTAGAATGAGAATAAAATAATAAATTGCTAAAATAAATTAACGCTCGATTTAAAGCTTTCGTGACTGCAATGATTCATCTACTTTGGTTCTTTCGGTAAAGTCACATAGAATGAGAATAAAATAATAAATTGATAAAATAAAATAACACAATAATATTCTCACGATGTTTCGGCCACAACACAAGCGGCTGAGTCGACCTAGGGGAGGCCCACGAAGGCCGCTTGTGTTGTGGCCGAAACGTCGTGAGAATTTTATTGTGTTATTTTATTTTATCAATTTATTATTTTATTCTCATTCTACGTGACTTTACCGAAAGAACCAAAGAAGATGAATCCTTGCAGTCACGAAAGCTTTAAATCGAAATTTAATACTATTATTATTGTTATAACTCCATCGACACCGCCGTGGAACTGCAAGACGCAGCGGACGCTTAACACCAATCCAACCATAACAGAGGTGTTTTGGGTCAGATCTGCGTAAATATGTAAATGTGTCGTCAAAACCCGCCACCACCCGACACGGCCAACTAGTAAGGATTGTCACGTAAACAGAACGTGGCCAATCCAACCACTGCGCTACCGCTCCCCACTACTCGCTCTCCTACAACCCCCCCCCCCCGACTCCCCTAAACCCGCGTCCCCCCCCCCCACTACCCCACCCTTCCGCTCACCTGCAGTGGGATCCGGCGGGCCGAAGTGCAGCGTGTAGCGCAGCACGTGGTGGTTGTTCCACACGTAGAGGGCCCCGTCGCGCGGGTTGTACTGCACCGACGTGATGAACTGGTACGGGTTGGGGAAGGGGATGGAGACGCGTGCCTCCCGCTGCGAGTTGGTGTCGTACACGTAGTCGATGCGGTCGCTCGTCCCCCCTCCTCCGCCTCCTCCGCCTCCTCCACCGCCTCCTCCACCGCCTCCTCCGCCTCCTCCACCGCCTCCTCCACCGCCTCCTCCGCCTCCTCCGGCGGCGTCCGCCCCCCCGTCGCCGTCGTCCTCGTACGTCGAGCGCAGGACGTAGAGGACGCCGCAGGCCATGAAGGCGTTGGAGGCCGAGCGCTTGTCGTAGGCCGTCTCCCAGGAGGCCTCGACGCGCAGCGTGTACGGGTTGAAGTGGCTCACCACCACGCGCCCGTTGTTCTGCTCCGTCGCGTAGATGACCCACAGGCCGTTCTCGTCGGCCGCCAGGTCGATGTCGGACTTGCCGCCCCAGCGGTAGGGCGAAGTGTCGTGGTAGTTGGCGTTGGGGATGAACGCCTCGCCGCTCTTGACGCGCGTTCGCAGGTCGAACTTGACGACGTTCCGCGTTCGCTCCTGCGGCCGTGCGCGCGCGGCCGTTGGGGGGGGGGAGGGGGGAGAGGGTTGGGTGAGTGTGTGTGAGAGTGGGGGAGAGGTGAGTGAGGGAGCGGTGAGTGTGTGTGTGAGAGGGAGAGGTTGGGTGAGTGTGTGTGGGGGAGTGGGGGAGAGGTGAGTGTGAGTGAGGGAGCGGTGAGTGTGTGTGTGGGGGAGTGGGGGAGAGGTGAGTGTGTGTGTGTGGGGGAGTGGGGGAGAGGTGAGTGTGAGTGAGGGAGCGGTGAGTGTGTGTGTGGGGGAGTGGGGGAGAGGTGAGTGTGAGTGAGGGAGCGGTGAGGGAGTGTGTGGGGGAGAGGTGAGTGAGGGAGCGGTGAGTGTGTGTGTGAGAGGGAGAGGGTGGGTGAGTGTGTGTGAGAGAGAGTGGGGGAGAGGTGAGTGTGAGTGAGGGAGCGGTGAGTGTGTGTGTGAGAGGGAGAGGTTGGGTGAGTGTGTGTGGGGGAGTGGGGGAGAGGTGAGTGTGAGTGAGGGAGCGGTGAGTGTGTGTGTGGGGGAGTGGGGGAGAGGTGAGTGTGAGTGAGGGAGCGGTGAGGGAGTGTGTGGGGGAGAGGTGAGTGTGTGTGAGAGAGTGGGGGAGAGGTGAGTGAGGGAGCGGTGAGTGTGTGTGTGAGAGGGAGAGGTTGGGTGAGTGTGTGTGGGGGAGTGGGGGAGAGGTGAGTGTGAGTGAGGGAGCGGTGAGGGAGTGCGTGTGGGAGCGGTGAGTGAGGGAGCGGTGAGTGTGTGTGTGAGAGGGAGAGGTGAGTGAGGGAGTGAGGAAGTGTGTGTGTGTGAGAGGTGAGTGTGTGTGAGGGAGCGGTGAGGGAGTGTGTGGGGGAGAGGTGAGTGTGTGTGTGAGGTGAGTGTGTGTGAGAGGTGAGTGTGTGTGTGAGGGTGAGGTGAGTGTGTGTGAGAGGTGAGTGTGTGTGTGAGGTGAGTGTGTGTGTGAGAGGTGAGTGAGTGTGTGTGTGTGAGAGGTGAGTGTGTGTGTGAGGGTGAGGTGAGTGTGTGTGAGAGGTGAGTGTGTGTGTGAGGTGAGTGTGTGTGTGAGAGGTGAGTGAGTGTGTGTGAGAGGTGAGTGTGTGTGTGAGAGGTGAGTGTGTGTGTGGGTGAGGTGAGTGAGTGTGTGCATGTGGGGAGAGAAGAGTGAGTGTGTGAGGGAGAGGGAGGAAGGGAGGGATAGAGAGGGGGTGGGGAGAGGAAAGGTGAGAGTGAGAGAGGGGGGAGAGTGGGAGTGTGAGTGGGTGAAGGTGTGAGCGTGAGAGATCCGGGCGTGGTGGTGTTAGCCACGCCACCCCCTCGGCCATCACAGGTGCTGCTCGCTAACAGCACTTGCCCCAACAGTCTGTTGAAGGCTTTACGGGGGATCTTTGTCTTTGATGAGCACAAGTTAAGTGCGTGGGGGCGCTCCTCACAGCGTGTGAGGAAGAGAGGAGGTGTGAAGGTGTTTGAGTGTGAGTTTCTGAGTGTGTGAGCGCGCGAGTGAGCGAGATTCTGAGTGTGTTCAGCGCGTGTGAGTGTCTGAGTGTGTGTGGGAGCGAGTGTGTGAGCGAGTGTGTGAGTGTCTTGAGCGTGTGAGCGCACGAGTGTGAGCGTTAGCCAAAATCCAAATTCGATCCCGCAAGTCAACGGATCTCATCGCCACTTCATCTCCGCAGTGGCCGTGCCTTCTGGACGCACTCCACCAGCGCCGTACACTGGGCCAGCCTTCTAGCGGTGACACGCTATGGACCAAGCCAGCCCTGCTCTCCTTCACGGCCCACGTGTAGCCCCTATCCTGCGCGCGTGTTCTCGAAACCAACGCGGATCCTCTTTTCCGTCCATCGGCGTTATTAACGATCGTGCATCTCCCCCTGCGCTCACCTTTCAAATTTGTCGCGATATTTGCTTCGTCATTTGGCAACATTTAAACTCTAGACCACGGGCTGCCATGCAGCTCGTTTTTCAGAATCGACCTGGCCACAAACGATCGCCCAACGCGTGCCTGTAAACGTGGAGGGAAAAGCCGCAGGGCCCGGAGGCAAAATCCACGTGGCCACGGGGAGAGAGAATGCAGACTCCAAACACACAGGCATCGTCACGGTCGGGATCGAAACCACGACCTCCTGCACACCAGGCGAGGTAGTTAACATCTCCTAGCCACCGCGTCACCCATTTGTGACCCATACGTCATAGGAAGGCCATGTACGTATGTACGTTGAATTTCTTTTGCACCGTAAGTAGCCAACAGTGCTAATCGGAGGTGCAGGATATGTATATACGGGGTGGCCCACAAGTCAGGACACGTGGGGTTATTATGCTTATGTTTACCAATGGTTCGAAACATTTTTGTTGTTTATTCTTTAACTTAATATTTTCTTTATTATTATTAACATCTGTTTTTTTCCTCTTCCTTTTCAGATTACATGTGTATATGTGATTTGTTAAAATAAATATAATAACCCGATGTGTCCTGACTTTTGGGGGCCTTCCTGTAATACACACGCACACAGATTAAGAGCTCCTGAGCTCAGGCACATTCCGCTATCGAGTCGCGCTTTCATCAAAGCGTTCCAAACCTATTCCTGTCGCGAAAATTAGCTCCTCGGAAATGAGGGGGGGGGGGGGGAATTTTTTTGCTAAAACGAGTTAATTAAAAATACATTTGCGAGGCAACCGTGCAATTATCACCCTCACCTAAAACAATATTTTATTTTACTAACTGCTGTCGGCGGCAATTTTTTTTTTTTTACCTAAATGTAAGGAACCCACGGGAAATTAAAGCATCCTGAATTTTGCCTTTAATTCCTCAATTTCCGAAAAAGGTAAATCCTGCGAAAGCCACTCGGTTGCGTCGAGGTCCAAGAGAAACGGCGGGGGGAGGGGGGAGGGGCGGGGCGGGGGGACAAGCTGAGGAACCGATTCATCGTTGCAATCAATTAAAATTGATTGACGTTCTAGAGAAATCTCAAGCCTTCGCCACACCGACGATGACTGCGCGTGGTGCGGAATGAAAAAAAATTAACCCCTCACAATTCAATTTTGCTCCCGCCTCTTTGCGACGTGGCCTCAAATCACGAGCCGGCTCTGGGAATCAAAAAGCGCGTCCGTTCGACATTGCGTACGACGACGAGACCCTGGGCTTAACGATCGTCTTCTCAGCTCGGGCGACACGAGTCCATGGGTTGCTGCGCATTCTGACAGTTGTTGTTGTTGTTATTTCAATGAAGCGTGACAAAATGGGTAATTTTTGATTTAAAGCTTTCGTGACTGCGGTAATTCATATTCTTAGTTTTTTCGGTAAAGTCACGTTGAAGAGAAACAACAAAATAATATAATATATATAAAACAATAAAAATTCTCACGACGTTTCGACCATAACACAAACGGTCGTCTTCAGGTGTGTTGGTTTGCATAAATTTATTTTTTAAACGGTGTATTTATTTATTTATGTGAAAACCACAAGAAGAATACTTTTTTATAAATAAATAAATACCCCGTTTAAAAATACATTTATGAAAACCAACACACCTGAAGACGACCGTTTGTGTTATGGTCGAAACGTCGTGAGAATTTTTTATTGTTTTATATATATTATATTATTTTGTTGTTTCTCTTCAACGTGACTTTACCGAAAAAACTAAGAAAATGGGTAATGTTTTTTTTACTTTACCGAAAAAACTAAGAAAATGGGTAATGTTTTTTTTTTCGAACGTTATAAATATTTCGTTATTTTGTTATTAGCCGGGAATTGCATTTGCGTGGTATCACCTTCGTGAATTTGATTAATCGTTGGAAGACGGCGCAACAATAAATGTGTTAAGAAATTTACATTATGAGACCTCCTTTGCCAGAAACAAGATATAGGAATAGGTTTTACCCTTTTAACTGGCACAAAAACTGACACCTTTATTCAAGGCATCATGTTTGCAATGACCACAACACAAGCAGTCAAAATGCAAACAAAAAAAGACAACTCTGATAATAATATGCACTGTCCTTGAATTTGATTGGTCCACACCCGAGACAGCTTTTCTTAGAGCTTTTCTTAGAGCCTAAACATGATGCCTTGAATAAAGGTGTCAGTTTTTGTGCCAGTTAAAAGGGTAAAACATATTCCTATGTTAAGAAATTATTATGTAGTCGTATGTCAACACTTCTGAGAATTTGCAAACAATACTACGAGAAATGTGCATCCGGGGGTTCTGCAGACCACCTGGAGAAGATTCAAGGCATGCAGACTCTTTGACTTTTTGAAGCTATTAACATTACATTTGTTATCATGTTACAGTGTTATTCTTATCCGTTATTTTTTCCATAGTATGATCGCAACTGAAGGGCTCTCTCTCTCTCCAGTTCATTCATTCTGCAACTGCAATGTTTACTGGAGTTATGAGCTCAGTCTACAAACTATAAAAATAGCTCTGTTTCAGAAGCGACCAGGCCACAAATGATACAGTGAGGGAGCTGAAGGTTCGAGTTGCCAAACGTCAGCCTCGAAACCTTAATGACTTGGAGAAGATCTGCAAAAAGGAGTGGGACAAAATCCCTCTTGAGATGTGTGCAAACCTGGTGGCCAACTACAAGAAACGTCTGACCTCTGTGATTGCCAACAAGGGTTTTGCCACCAAGTATTAAGTCATGTTTTGCAGAGGGGTAAAATACTTATTTCCCTCATTAAAATGCAAATCAATTTATAACATTTTTGACATGCCTTTTTCTGGATTTTGTTGTTGTTATTCTGTCTCTCATTGTTCAAATAAACCTACCATTAAAATTATAGACTGATCATTTCTTTGTCAGTGGGCAAATGTACAAAATCAGCAGGGGATCAAATACTTTTTTCCCTCACTGTAGCTCAGCGTAGTGGCTTAATCACGTGGAAATATATAGCAGCCAAATACTCTTAAACGCGTGATGTCGATTCTAAACGTGTAGGCAAAAAAACGGAAGACCCGGAGAAAAATCCATGGGGAGAACACGCAAACTCCAAATATAAAGCAGGCGTCAGGGTCGGGATTGAACCCATGAGCTCCCGTATACCAGGCGAGGTAGTAAACATCTCTCCACCAGTCATTGCAACAGTCCCTAGCCTGATCAAAGTTTAGTGTCAACGTATGTGCGGGCGCCCTCCCCGGAAAGATAAATCAAAGTTCTATCCGGCCCTCAGTTAGGCAAAAGCTCTTTCTCCACCACTGTCCTATACTTCGGATAATGAACACACTTAATAATTCAACACATTTGGTATTCGCGCCATTCTGAGAACCGCAGGGGCCATCACGAATGAAGGCGCCATTTCACAGACAGGTATACGCCGCCGGTAAGGGGAAGGGGCGACGTTGCCAAGTGGTTTCATCCACGGCCCCTTGTATACCAAGTGAGGTAGTGAACATCTCTCCACCGCGCCACCCCTGTGGCCCCTATCGTCATTATCATCGTCACGGCTCTGTCGTACCAGGTAAGGCCCACCGAGCCATACAGCTCTTTTCCAGAAGCGACCTGGCCACATAAAATGATAGCTCAACGAAGTGGCTCATCACGTGGCAATGTATAGCAGCCAATTACTCTAAACGCGTGTGGATTCTAAATGAGGTAGTTAACATCTCTCCACCACGGAGCCCCTACCGCCCCCCTATCGTCATCATCGTCATCGTCGTCATCATCATCATCATCGTCGTTGTCGTCCCACTGGTGCTCACGCGGAAAAAAACCCCGCGCCAGGCACCGACCTTGTTGAAGAACACGGCTCCGTCGTACACCACGAAGCCCGTGCCGTCGACGCGGTGCGGCAGCTTGTAGTTGGTGAGCGGTCGCCCGGCCAGGAAGTCCTGGAGGGAGGCGTACTCGGTGAGGCTGTCGGTGCGGTACGGCGTCCACGGCATGAAGTACACCTTCTCGGTGGCCTGCAGCGGGTCGCGGCACCACGAGCCGGCCTGCTGCTCCGCCTCCAGGAGGTGCAAGGCCTCGCCAACGAGTCGGACGCTGCCCGGGCACAGGAAGACTGCCACGGAGAACGAGGGACAGACGAGCGAACGGTCGGGTCAGGGATTCGTGGCCGCTCCCTAGCTGATATACTATAAGCTGAAAACTTTTTGTTTGTTATTTTAGCAGGTGAGGCCAACTGAGCTATGTTACTCTTTTGCGGAAGCAACCTGGCCGCACAAATTATAGCTCAACGAAAGTGACTTATAACGTGGAAATGTAGAGCAGAATCCAAATACTCGAATACGCGTGACGTTGATTCTAAATGTGGAGGGAAAAACCGGAAGACCCGGAGAGAACTCCACACGACCACGGGCAGAACACGCAAGCCTCCAAGTATACAGGCGTCAGGGTTGGGATCGAACCCACGATCTCCTGTATACCAGGCGAGGTAGTTAACATCTCGCCACCGTTTGCGTGCGTGTACTGATGGGTGTGTGGTAACATAGGTGCCGTCTACGTCACAGCAGAGCCTGATGAAGCCGAACGTCTACCGAGAACGATCGCGTTTCTTAAACATACACATGTGGTATGTGCATCGTGAGCTTAGTGTGTGGTATAAATAGACAGATTCATCGTCGCGCATCGATTAAATACTTAGTTGAAATAAAACCGGCGCGAACACAGGCAATTCAGCTTTTGCACGGAAACAGTGGGCATGCAGAGGATTGTGGGGTTTCCCAGGATGCGCTGAGGCCTAGCCTAAACGAATTTCAACTGACGGTGTTGTTACCGGGATTACCGCACAATATTTTGTCACGATACGACATCAAACTTGACGGCAGGACGATTTTCCAATAACGTTGTAGTACTCGTATTTAGCATGTTAGTTCTGTTGTTTTTGTGCCATTTAGCATGTTAGTTATGTTGTAATCAATGCAGTCTATAATGCTGATGAACTCACAGCGCTGTCAGTTGCGCCAGAAATGCGGTCAACAATTACACGAACCACGGCGATGACGATGTCACACAATCGCCATGCTGTCAATTGACGCCGAAAACTGTTTGGAAAGCGTTGATTCGATGTTATAATAAGTATTTATTTACAACCTGCGTAACCGAATTTGTTACTCTCGCAATTAAATCGTGAGGACATAAAAGGCGCAGGAAAAATGCTGCGAGGGCAGCGAGAATCGCGATCGAAGCACATTTGGCAACAACGGACGACACGATGACCTTATAATCATCGCAGTATCGCCACGTCGGGGGGAAAAGCCTGCCTTCTTACACGGCGTTTGAACTTTTGCGTCTCAGACTATTGTACGGGTTGACTGTAGGGGTGCAACGTGCACAATAGCCCTCTCCGGGAATCACGATGAGGAACGTCACACAGCAGTTCGTTGGCTCGGGAGTGTTTTTTTCTTTTCATGCACGTCCGAGCAGGCCCATGAACTCTCATGCACGCAACAAGGAAATCGTCAACGTGGAGAAGTTTAGCGGTGCAGTGTTTCGTTGCCTGGAACTTCGCTGCGGCCTACAAAAATGCCATTTCGCCAAACCTCGACTACACGTCGGCAACTCGGATGCTTCGACTTCACGATACCGATGCAAATCACGGAGACATTTTGATTGCACCGTAGTCATTATTACACGATGGGTAGTACAGTGCGCTGTATTAATGTGATACTCAAGAAGATAGGCCTGAGCCTTCAACCTCCCCCCTTCTTGCCTTGGCAGCGCAGCCCAAAGGGCTCCCCACTCATCCCGACCCCCTGAATCAGGTAAGGAATCTAGGCAAGAAGCGGCATGTAACTCAGCCCACGGAAGGAAACCAAAGGTTTTTTTTTCAATGATTAAATGTAAAGATCGCACCCATTAACAAATGGAATTTTCGCGAGATTAATTGCGGCGGTAAAAAAACGCAAAGAAATAATTTCCTTTAGGACATAACTGCAGGCCCTTCACTGCCAATGTGTTCCCATGACAACCATTTCGAGTGTCATCAACATCCGGACCTCATCCGAGCCAATCGCAGAGCAGCTCCGCTGCACGCTTAACGCTAACACGTTTGAAGAATATACATAAACATTAAATTGTGTTTTTTATTATTTTATTGTTTCCCTTCTACGTGACTTTACCGAAAGAACCAAGAATATATGTAAACATTATTAACGACTAGGCCCAATTTGCAGCCTTTTGCTGCCTTCTCATCCGCACACCTCCCCCCCCACCCCAGATCACACCGACTCAAACGGCCGTCTGGATACAGGAGTCACATTGGCAAATGTGATTTGTAACTTTGATCATTGCCTGCGTGTCGATAGTTCAACGTGCCATTTCACTGAGGGACTACCACCATGTGGCGTTATCTTGGTGCAGTCTGGGACTGTTTTTGCCGCCTCGCCCAATCTTGATAAATTGGACTAACGTAATTCAAGAGCGCATTACTTATTCATATTTCGTGACTAGCATTTTCTCCATTTTGCACTCCTGTGCCATCAACTCGCCCTCACCCCCCCCCCCCCCCCCCAGGCTCATGGGATTCCTCTCCCCTCCGAGTCGAAAGAAAGATTCTGAACCGTAAACGTCGTCGGCACCGCTGAACTTCCCACGGAAGGGGGCGAGTGTCGCGATTGGCACGTGCACGCGCCGCCGTGACGCTACCTTTTTGCTCCAGCCCTTCGCGAGCGGGAGGTTTTTTTGTTTTTAGGGGAGGAGGGAAGAAAAAGGCGGTGAAGCGAGAGACAAAGGGAGGATTAAAACGTGGATTGAGGAGACAAATGCATACAGAGGGGACGGGCGCAGCGCAGACAACACTCGAACGGTAGACTCTCGATTTGTCCGCGCTAATGACGGGGGGGGGAGGACGGCCGCGGATCATTCGAAATCCAAAAATATAACCATTTTCCGCGGATCTCTGCGCCAAAAGCCACTAACGTCGGTATCGATTATGCTCAAGTGAAGAAAATTGAGTTTGATAATGAACAAAACGAACATTTCTAGTCCAAAATGTGTTGATCTTGTTTCATTACAAAACTCCATACAAAAAGACAACACTACTCATTCAAACGAATTTGAAAAATCCTTAAAGACAGATTTCTGCTTCAGTGCGCCCGCTTCAATGAGCCCGCTTCCTTGTTGCGAATTGACGCCCTTAATCGACGCAATACCAATTTGTCAGCGAGCAGCGGAGTCATCCTGTTGCTCTTCCGATTTAGAACGAATGCCGACGATCGATGCGCGTGCTCAGTGCAAACACTTTTCTGCTCCCGCGCAGAAGACTCGGCCCACTAAGTGGACAGCAGAGCCACGCAAACCAAAATTGATCAAACTACGCTCACTGTTGTTAAGGTATTGCAAATACTATACTGCGCAGGCGATCACGTAGATTTTGCATGAACCAAAGCACATGTTTGTTCGGTTCAAGCACGCGACTTGTAATAAACATTTCCAGGGTTAACAATGTGTAACTGCTTCTAGATTATTCATTTTGGGCTTAAGGCAAAAATCCACGAGTTATTAATTAATGTTCACAATCTCAGGTGCGCGGTTAATCCGCAAATCGGATAAACCGCACGCGGATAATCGAGAGTCTACGGTATGCTGAACTTAATTTGCGCCGTACAGAGCCAACCGTGCTAATTGGAGGTGCGATTCGTTGTCAGCCTAATCAGAGACAAGGCAGAAAGACCCACTCCGGGATGAGCTTTCTTTCAGATAACATCATCATCATTTTTCAGCAGAAACGTTTAAATGCCTCGGTATCTTCACACACATTTACAGACGTTATATAATGGGGTTGGGAGCGGCGACGCAGCCGATAGTGCGACAAAAAACCCGACGACATCAGTGGTGCTGGTGCAGTGCAAGGCATCGCGGGTGACTTCCCATAATGCACCGTTTGGTGAGCGCAACACAACTGAATTGTTTGGTTTAACAGCTGTATCTCAGGCTAGGCGTGGAACACACGTGTGTTTCGTGATCAGACCGAATATCTTCCAGGCCCGCAGGTAGAATGGAGAAGGCAATGGGATTAGTTGCCACAGCCAGAGCGAGAGGAATACTGGATACGGTGTGCCGGGTGCAACAACAAAAAATGTACGGGTTTAGCGGTGGACTGCAAGCTAGTTAAAATCGTGCTGACGATTATTTGAACCGGCCATGGGCCTCCCCTTGGTTGACTGGTGCGGTGTGTAGTAAACATGGCCACTGGGGAGACAAAGGCGGCCGGGCGTGTTGCTGGCCACCCACACCCCCTCGTGTACGGTACCGCTCGCCCCGACAGCCTGTTAAAGGGCGTAACGTTGCCCGCGTGTGCGTGCGCACGCTCCGCGACTACTCACTGTAGGGGACGCACTCGTACCAAACCTCGAGGTACTTGTACGTTCCGGGACAGGGGTCCGGAAACACCTCGTTGCCAGCGACGACGAGGCACTGCGTCCTGTTGTTGCATCTGCGGGGGGGGGGGGGGGGGGGGGGGGGGGGGGGGGGGGGGGGGTGGCAGGGGGAGCGGGGCGTAGGGAGGAGGTGGAGGGGGGGAGAGGAGCGGCGGAGCACCCGCGAGAGCCGTGGTTTAGTGGCAGGGCCGCGTTACGTTAACCTCCCTCCCCCCCCACCGGTGCCGCGACTCTCGGCCACAGCTGGGCCAAGCATCCCCAGTGCAGGACCCTCCTGTGAGAGGGTGATGATGGGAATCAGGCCCTTTTGTGGGTATCAAATAACTGGCATATTTATTAAGAATTATTACGATTTTTACTGTGTGGGGGGGGGGGGGGGGGGAAGGGAAGGCGGGCAGGCATAGTTGGTGGCACAATGGGTTAGCGCACTGTGGCATGTAGCCGGCGACCCGAGTTTGTAGGTATGCATGCGCGTTGAACTTCTTTCGCACCCGCACGTAGCCAACCATGCTAATCGGAGGTGCCGTGGGGGGGGGGGGGGGGGACAAAGAGTGAGATTCCCAGCCACGGCTGACATGGGTGGCGAGGGTGATATCCGAATAGGCCTGCTGCTGTGCTGTAATGGTGATGGGACTGTCAGAATGGGCCTTGGAGGACAAGCCAACTGTCTAACAAGAGGAAGACAGATGGGGGTGATGAGACTGTAAGAGTGGTCATTGATGTACTCTGCGCGTTTCTACTGAGTAAGACGAACTCAAAGCAGGTGGCGGTAATCAATCAATCAATAAATGTTTACTTGTTACGCGCGAAGTTCCTCTTGGCCAGTTACCCGGCGAGTTCTGCAAGCGCTGGCGACGTTTCTGGACGAGCGGTCCTCGTTCAGGGCCACGTCAAAACCGCGTATCAATGGGGAAGCACAAAAGTCCAAACAAGGAAAATAAATTTTGATTTAAAGCTTTCGTGACTGCAGGGATTCATATTCTTGGTTCTTTCGGTAAAGTCACCACGTAGAAGGGAAGCAATAAAATAATAAAAATATAAAACAATTAAATTCTCACGTTTCGACTGCAACACAAGCAATCATCATCAGGTGTGAAAACCACAGCAAGAAAATTTGAAAAAAGTGGCGGTTTTTTTAACGTTAGCACCACGGAGAGCGATTTGGCAGTTATTCAGATGGATGAGTCCATCTATGTTCGGAAAAGAGGAGGGGGGAGATGAAAAAATAATGGATGCGGTCTTAAAGCCACCGTAAGCGTGATTGTTCACGCTTTCGGTGGATGTGGTCTGAAAGCCACCGTAAGTGTGATTATTCACGCTTACGGTGGCTTTCAGACCGCATCCATTATTGTTCACGCTTACGGTGGCTTTCAGACCGCATCCATTATTTCGTCTCCCCACTCCGCTTTTCCGAACATAAGATGGACTCGTCCATCTGAACAAACTGTCAAATCGCTCTCCGTGGTGCTAATGTAAAAAAAAAAAACCGCCACTTTTTTCAAATTTTCTTGCTGTGATTTTCACACCTGATGATGATTGCTTGTGTTGCAGTCGTGCAACGTCGTGAGAATTTTATTGTTTTATATTTTTATTATTTTATTGTTTCCCTTCTACGTGGTGACTTTACCGAAAGAACCAATAATAAGGAAAATGATTGTTTCGATGCAATCGGGAAGAGGAGGTTGCGACGAGCGGGGCCACGCGTGCTGGGCGGTGGAAGGCCGAGCGGCCGAGAGCGGCATTGGAGCGGCACCCAGAGGAAGACCTAGAACCAGACGGTGGTGGTGGTGGTGGTTGTGGCGGTGTAGGTGGTGGCACCGGTGGTAGTGTGGAGCGGTAGTGTTAGCGGTTAGCGCGCTGGGCAACGAACCGGGTGGCCACGAGTTCAACTCCAGCTAACGGCCAACGCTAGTGACGATTATCTAAACCGGTCCTGGGCCTCCCCTAGGTCGACTCAGCCTCAAATGACTACCTGGGTGTGTGATGTGTAAACATCGCTACTGTTGGGAGACAAAGGCGGCCGGGCCATGGTGTTGGCCACTGACCCCCTTCGCGTGCCGTGCCGGCCCTCCATAGGTGCTCGCGAACAGCACCTGCCACAACAGTCTGTGAACGCTATACGCGGGGATCTTTGTCTTTGGTGGTCAAGAGACTCTACGGGCAAACCCTCGGATGCTCATCAGTTTGTCATCTTCGCAGCAGTCGTCGGACCTGGCTGAAGGAAAGAAGCGACGGCGGCGATATTGCGCCGATGTATGTTGAACTTCTTTTTGCACCGTACGTAGAGACAACCGTGCTGACCGGAGGTGCGAGGAAGGACACCAAACCAAACGCAACAAGGCCGTTCTGAAGACATTTCGTGTTCAATCGAGATTGAAAAGCGCGTAGCTCCGGTGGCTTCTTAATATCACAAGGAACCGCGCGCTCCAGACAGCCGCGGAAGCGCTATCCGAAAGCGCCCCGCGATGCAGGTGACCCGTTTGCGTCCGATGGCCAGCCAAAAGCCGCCGCCGCCGCGAGGGTGAGTGGGAGTTCCGCGTGACGGTTTACGCAACGACCCTCACCCCAAATCGCCCCACGCGCCCGTAATGCCCACGTCAACCCTCCAAGAGCGCTTCGCCCCGGATGCCATCGTTCCAGGGTCAATTGTTCACCAACATTAATTTCCCAAAAGGGCCTCCTCCTCCTGCCTCCTCCTCCCTCCTCCCTCCTCCCTCCTCCTCCTTCTTTAAACATTTCTGCTGGCGGCAGCAGTTAGCGGGGAATGAAAATACCGCGTTTGCGCGGTCGGCGATAATTGCGGCGGTGACTCAGTGAGCATGGTTTTGTGTTTTTTTTCCCTTTATTTCTGAGCGCCATCCTCTGGAGGTACGGGGGGGGGGGGGATATCAGACGGAGGCAGCGCAGAGCGCTTAATGAGCGTTTGATTTAAAACGAGAATGCGTGGTCGGTCGCCCCCCCTCCTCGCCCCGCACACAGAAAGCCAAAGATCCCCCGTATAGTCTTCAACAGACTGTTGCGGCAAGTGCAGTTAGGCGAGCAGCACGGCTGGAGGCCGGCACCGTGGCACACGACGGGGGCGGGTTTGGTGGGTGGCCAACAACACGCCCGGTCGACTTTGTCTCCCGCACGAGGTACTCATTTGAGGCTGAGTAGACCTAGGGGAGGCCCAGCCACCGGTCCACATAGTCGTCACTGCTGCCGTGGCCGTGAGCGGGAATTGAACTCGGGTCTCCGGGTATGAAGCGCAGCGCGCCAACCGCTGCACCACCGCTCCCCACACACACAGTCACAAACACACGTGTGTGCGTGTGTGTATGTATGTCGAACTTCTTTCGCACCGTACGTAGTCAATCGTGCTAATCGGAGGCGCGTAACCGGGGCACGACTCAGTGATGAGCACTAACTATTACGAAGACCTATAATAACGCTGTAGCCTCTGCCGGGCAATCGGAAACTGGTTATGACTCACTGATGAGCACTAATTATCACGAAGACCCATGGCGCACTGATGAGCGATAATTATTAGGAGGATCCCATGTGACACCGTCGCCTCTACCGGGCAATCGGAAAACTGGGTATGACTCACCGATGAGCACTAATTATCACGAAGGCCCATGGCGCACTGATGAGCGATAATTATTAGGATTCCATATGACACTGTAGCCATCTACCGGGCATTCGGAAAACTGGGTATGACTCACTGATGAGCACTAATTATCACGAGGATCCCACATAACTGTGCATGACCCAACTGATGAGCTTTAACAATTACCAAGTCTCATCACCCCCCCCCCCCCCCCCCCCCCCCCCCCCCCCCCCCCCCCACATACAAGCTACCAGCAAGGATCAGCAATGCTGGTCCGGATACAGATGTTAATAGGAAAGACAAGTCACGTAGAAGGGAAACAATAAAATAATAAAAATATTAAAATATTATTAAAATATTATTATTTTAAATTATTTTATTGTTTCCCTTCTACGTGACTTTACCGAAAGAACCAAGAATATGAATGCCTGCAGTCACGAAAGCTTTAAATCGAAAGGAAAGACGAGGTTTTGCGCCTCCGATTTGCACGGTTGGCCGGCTAAGGTACGGTGCGAAAGAAGTTCAACATACATCCGGTGCCTTTGTCGATCCACTGCTGGATGAAGCTCTTCCCATGTCGTCGCCATCCCTCATGCACGACGACACAGTGCTTCTTGCCCCTGCGCGTGAGCCGACCTCATCACGTGGTTCAATGGTCCCCCTAATGGCCACTGGGGCCAACTGAAACTAACAATTTCGGATAGGCCCAGCCCTGAGATCGAACTTAGCTTTTCAGAGGCATTGCCTCAGTTTCTCAACATGAGCATTGTAAGCTGAAGGAGAGAGAGAGAGAGAGAGGGAGAAAGACACACAAGGCACCGGAGCTCGAACCCAGAACGTTTGAACTTGCTGGCTTCGTTCCCTGACGAACGTTTAATTAGAGAGGCACCCAGACCCAGGGTTCAAACCCAGGGCCCCACAGCGACTGGGGCTCTGTGTGACTCATAACAAAATTATATATGTAAAAAAAAACTTTTTTTAAAACACGCTTTAATGAAATGTACCGTACTACTAATGGAAGAAGTCCACGACTCCAGGAAGTGGCCCTGAAGCTCGCCACAACGTAAGTGGACCGTGGTCAATTACAGCCAACGTCAGTTGACCGTGGACAATTAGACCCAAGCTGAAACATAACGTGTAAAAAATAATGTTTAAAAATATATATTTCTATTTTTTTATGATAGAATATAGTACTGTGATCAGTATGACATAAGTCTACCAAGTTTGCAGTCGATACCACATTGGCAAGTGGGTTAAAATCGAGTTGCAAGATTTGAGGATACAACAACAGACAGAGTGAGTTAAATAAAAGCGTGTAAAAACAACATCATCAGCCAGAGAGGGGGAAGATAGAGACACACCCATACCCAGGGCGTGAACCCACAACCTCATAGGTGCCCGGGGCATCGTCTCTACGCGACGACAGACGAGATAGAGGAAAGGACGCGGAGATGCAGCGAGACAATAAGAGCGACGCAGATGAGGGCTGGCGGAGTGAAACGAGACAGATGAGCACTTTGGTTATTTCGGTAAAGTCACGTAGATGAAAAATTAAAATAATAATAATAATGAAAATAATAAAATGAAAATAACTAAAATTAAATCACGACGTTTCGGGCGCAACACAAGCGAACACGGATGCTAATCGGAGGTATGGGAGAGGGACAATCAACCAAGCACAAAAAAGCAGTTTTAACAACAAATGAGTTTTCAATATATGGGAGTCTGTGGATCTCTCTGTGAGTCTATGGCTCTCTGTGTGAGTCTATGGGTCTCTATGAGGCTGTGGGTGTCTGTGTGAGTCTATGGGTCTCTCTGTGAGTCTATGGCTCTCTGTGTGAGTCTATGGGTCTCTATGAGGCTGTGGGTGTCTGTGTGAGTCTATGGGTCTCTATGAGGCTGTGGGTGTCTGTGTGAGTCTATGGGTCTCTCTATGAGGCTGTGGGTGTCTGTGTGAGTCTATGGGTCTCTATCTGAGTCTGTGGGTCTCTATGTATGTATGCAGACTTTCTTTCGCACCGTCTGTAGCCAGAGAAAAAATCCACGCGACCACAGGGAGAACACGCAAACTCACAACTATACAGGCGTGAGGGTCGGGATCGAACCCACGACCTCCTCCTGCATACCGGGGCGAGGGAGTTAACATCTCCTAGCACACCGTGCTAATCGGAGGTGTGCGGGAAGGAAAACCAAAACCAACACTAGACGTGAAAAGGCGTTCTAAAGAAGTGACTTTTCAATCGAGACGATCTGAGAGTGCGTAGCTCCGGTGGCTTCCTGATGTCCCGATGCAACCGAGGAGCCGACCGCAAAGCAACAAAAAAAACCAACAACGACAGGAGCAGGCAGAAACAGCAGATGCAATGACAAAACCTCGACGGAATCGCCCGGGAATAATCAAGAACGGCGATAACGACAGCGACGGTGGTGGGAAGTACGGGGGGGGGGGAGGGGGGCTGGGGGGGGGGAGCACAGGCAGCAGACAGCGAGACGCGGGTGTGGACACAAGCCGTCATTTGAAACCAATTTAAAATTGGATTCGTAACGCCACCTGAACACTTGCTTTCAGGATTCCGATTAAATATTAATTTTGGCGAGCGCCCCGAGACGAAGAGGGGAGAGGGGGGTGGGGATGGGGGGGGGCGGCGAGCTTCGGGAGCATTCATTATTAACGACGGCGTTTATTGGACGGGAACGTCGCGGGGGGAAGGCAGGCAGAGAGCGTGGGCGCACATGGTCGCCGGGCAATTTATGCGGAAGAATGTGAAAATCATTTAGAGGGGGGGGGGGGGGGAAATAAATACGCGAGCAACGACGGGCGACTCCGGGAGGAGAAGAATAAGAAGAAGAAGAAGCAGAAAATGATATCGCGTTTAATCAGAACCCGCGACTCAGAAAGCAAGAGGTTTAAAGAGATACAGATATTCTTCTTCTTTCGAACGGCTGATGTACGTATGTAATGTTGAACTTCTTTCGCACCGTACGCAGGCAACCGTGCGAATCAGAGGTTTGGGACAAGGACAACAAACTAAAAGGCAGAAATAAGTTCTAAAGAAATTCGTTTTCAATCTATGCGAGCCTGTGGGTCTCCATGTGAGTCTGTGGGTCTCTGTGCGAGTAGTCTGTGGTTCTCTGTGTGAGTCTGTGGGTCTCCATGTCAGTCTGTGGGTCTCCATGTGAGTCTGTGGGTCTCTGTGCGAGTAGTCTGTGGTTCTCTGTGTGAGTCTGTGGGTCTCCATGTCAGTCTGTGGGTCTATCTGCGAGTAGTCTGTGGGTCTCTATGTGAGTCTATGGGTCTCCATGTGAGTCTGTGGGTCTCTACATACGTATGTTGAACTTCTTTTGCACCGCACGTAGCCAACCATGCCAATTGGAGGGTGCCGGGGAAAACCGAACACAACAAGTAGTTCTAAGCAAATTATTTTTGAATCTAGAAGCTCCAATGGCTTCCGAATATCGGAAGGAAGAGCATTCCAGACGGCCGCAGACGCGCTATCTGAAAGCGCAACCGTTCGACGACTAGCCAAAAGCCTCTGCGAGGATGATCAGAGTTTGCGTGATGTTGCTCTATGCTCCTAGGCGAGATCAGCGAGGTGTTGCGGTTCATTTGTGGCGAGCGCTTTGCGCGCGACGAATGCGACCTCACAACGCATTCGTTTGGCAAACGGGAAGCCAACGCAGACGCAGAGCAACAACTTACGCAGCTTCACATTCAGGTGGTCAAGCCAGACAACCGCTGTCGGGGGGCAGCTGGGTAGCGTATCGTCGCCGTGATGATGACGTCTCCTTCGTATTTGCGGATCGTGCCGCAGCGTCGTTACGCGTTGCACGGTCTTGTTCCCGGATGACCGCGGTCGCACCGCTACCGGAGAGTTTTTAAATCGTGTGTGTGTGTGTGTGTATATTATAGCGGATAAGAGCGCGTACACGTGCGCTCGGGATGATGCCTCGGTGTCGCGGTTAGTGCGCTCCCGTAACGGCGAGGATTCCCAGAGGTTTTGCCCGGTTTGGATGTCCGGGGCGCGGCAGTTAAAACAGTGGCGGGGTGGTGGGGGGTGGAGAGGTTTCCAAAAATCGCACGGAAACAAAGACCTCCCCCACACCCCCTCCGTGTAGCCTTAACAGACTGTCGGGGGGCAAGTGCTGCTGTTAGCGCGAGCACCCTATGAAGGCCGGCACGGCACACGAGGGGGGTGGGCCGGCCGGCACCACGCCCGACCGCCTTTGTCTCCCCAGTGGCGACGTTCATACATCGCACCGGGTGCTCATTTGAGGCCGAGTCGACATAGTGGAGGGGCCTAGGACCGGTTCAGATTCTCGTCACCGATGTTGGCCGTGAGCGGGTAATCCAACTCGGGTCATGGCCGGGGGCTCGCAGCGCAGCGTAGCGCTGACCGCCACACTGCCGCTCCCACAAAGACAAAGATCCCCCCCGGGCGTAGCCTTCACAGACGGTTGGGGCAAGTGCTGATGGGGCGCGCGCACCTATGAAGGCCGGCGCGTGCGGTGCCGAAGGCTCGCTGCTGGCCGGAGGTCACGGGACAGACCCACACACACACGCACACACACACGCACGCGCTCCCGACACTCGCGCCCACCTCTGAGCCATGATGCGGAAGCTCTCGTCCTGCAAGCAGGCCGTGTTCTGCATCTTGGCCGGCTCGGAGTCGCAGATCTGGTCGTTGGTGCGGCCGTAGTTGGCCGAGCTCACGACGATCACGTCGCTGCCCGGGCAACGGAGGTCGATGGGGTAGCCCTCGCACGACAGCTCCCGCTGCACCAGGCCCTGGGGCAGCGCCAGGCGCCCGGAGCCTGCGAAGGGGCACGACGGACAGAGAGAGAGAGAGGTTGGACGAGGTCAAGAGGTCGTTATCGTTATCGTCATCATTTGCATTATTACTTGCACCCGCTTACCCGGGGAAACGCCTCAGAGTGTCAAGGGTCATTATCCTGGAGGGTCCTGCCAGGGTTTCACAGTAGTGGCCGATGTTGCACCTCCGATTGGCACGGTGGGCTACGTACGGTGCGAAAGAAGTTCAAAGTACACACGTACTTTGGCAAGTTTCGTCAATACCAGCTAAAGTGTACGGGGGGTTATTTTTCCCCGTTGCGGGAGGAAACCGGAGAACCGCAGAAGGACGCCCGAGTCGGGATTTGAACCCAGGCGCTGCTTGCTGTGATGCACAAGCGTCACCGGCCAATGTGGAATTTCCAGGATCTCCAAATTGGGATGAGCAGCCAAACACCACCCCATTCAAATCCAACGGTAACAATCAACTTCTTGGTTCTTTCGGTAAAGTCACCACCACGTAGAATGGAAATAAAACAATAAAAATAAAACATAATAATGAGAATAGTGAGAGTTTTATTTCGTTACGTTTTATTTTTATCCTTTTATTTCCATTCTACGTGGTGGTGACTTTACCGAAAGAACCAAGCAGGTGAATCCCCGCAGTCACGAAAGCCTCAAATGCAACGGTAACAATCAGAGCTCCACACAGCTTTCGCTCGCCCTGCCAGAGAGAGAGAGAGAGAGAACGAGGAGGAGGCCTCGAAGGCGGTTGGACACGCGGGAGGAAAACGCACACGTTGCGAGGGGGCAACGCTCTATCCCGTGCAGACGGAACGGGCGGAGGGAGTCGACGTCGTCGCTGCAACCACCTTCTCCTGGCAACTCCTTGACGCCCAAAGGCAAGGGGAGTTTCGCAACATCTGCGCGGTGATCCGCGAGCCCTCGCTGCTGGCTCCCCAGCGCCGGATTAGGGGCGGGAGACCACGTGCCGCAGCGCGGCCACCGCCAGGCCGGCCAGGGGACGCTTATTGTTCGGCGAGCGGTCCGTGGATCGCGCGCAGATTTTTCAAAGCTGGGCAATGACGCGATGGCGGCCACCCCCCCCTTCCTCCACCCCCCCTCCTCCACCCCCCCCTCCTCCAACCCCCTCCCCTCCTCACCCCCCATCACCCTTATTCACCCCAACCCCCTCCTCCACCCCCCCCTTCCTCCACCCCCCCCTCACTCCTCCCCCCCTCCCTCCTCCAGCCCCCTCCCCTCCTCACCCCCCCCATCACCCTTATTCACCGCAACCCCCCTCCTCTAGCCCCGCGCCCCCACCCCTCCTCCACCCCCCCCCCCTCCGCCACCCTCACCCCGCTCCCCACAACCTCCCTCTGCCCCCCACCTATGCAGGGTGGGGGTTTTCTCCTTGGGGTTCTCCGGTTTCCACCCACACGGACGAAGCCAAACTCTCATTAGAAAGGAATTTGCTAAATACCCAACAAGAGGGTACGCGGAGGGACAAACCCCCCCCCCCCCCGCCCCCCCCCCCCCCCCCCCCCCCCCCCGAGTACCCAGCGGAGAATTTCCTGGGCAGATAACAAATTCATCATCAGGCATGCTTGATCCACTGCTGGATCGTTAGTTTGTAGCGTTTGTTGTCGGAACTTTCTTGACCCGCGCCCGACTGGACAACTGTGGAAAGGATCCTTCACGGCTCATCGGATTTCTCACGTTTCTACTGACTGAACTAATTTTATTACGTGACCGGGCAAGGCCTACTGAGCTACGCAGCTCGTTTCCGGCAGCCACCTGACCACAAACGACAGCTCAAAGAGAAGTGTATGTACGACGAACAATTTTCGCACCGCACGTAGCCGACCGTGCCAATCGGAAGGCGCGGGAAACCTGATAGCAGCCAAATACTCTCCAAAACGCGTGACGTCGATTCTAAATGCGGAGGGAAAAACCGGAGGACCCAGATGAGAGAGAGAGACACCGCAAACTCCAAACCCACGGACCTCCTGCATACCACGCGAGGGAGTCAACATCTCGACAACTCCGTCGCTATTCTAGAGCATCGTTCGTCGCCCTCGCCGCTCGCCGCAAACGCGCGCCGCTCACCCTCAGGGGGCACCAGTTTACTGCTTGGGTGCCATTAACCCGAGCGCGCTTGGGATTTGCACCGAGAGACGGGGAGAGACGGAACAGGTGGGGCAATTACAGGGACATGCGCAGGTTAGAGAAGTGGTTCAAACCACCCGTGACGTAAACGCGGGCTTGGGCAGGCCGCGCCGTTGCCTTGAAGGAATGATGGCCGACTGTCATGAAATAATGACAAGAGCACGCGGCGGCGGCGGGGGGGGCAGAGGAGTGGTGGAACGCCGTCTCGTCTCGTCGGCACGTCTACGGGAAGGTGGGGGGCGACGGAGCGATGAAATCGGGGCTCGTGAGCGACGGGAGGGGGCCGAGGGCGGATTATCACACCGCAGGGTCGTGGGAGAAATGGCAACGACTGGGAGAGGCCCTCAATCCAGCAGTGGATGGGCCATGGCCGATGATGACAATGACGGATGATGATGATGATGATGTTGGACGCCTCTATGTTTCGCGACGCAGGAATGCCGTGCTCGCTCGCGCTCGCTCGCTCTCTCTCGTGCCGAGACAATTCTCCTGCTTGTTTTTTAAATTTTAAACTCTCTGTTTGTACAATTAACAGGGACGCAGCCGCCGCCGCCGCCGCCGCCGCTACCACAAGAGTCCTTACTTTGTTGTCCTTCCCCCACCCGCACCTTCGATTAGCACGGCCGCGGCCACACGCGGTGCAAACGAAGTTCAACGGACACACGGCACGTGCAGTGCGGCAGTTAGCAGCGGCAACGGCTCTCTCACCCGGCAGCGATACACAAGGCGGGGGGGGGGGGGGGGGGGAAGGAGAGGTACCCATGTAAAGTGTGAGCACCTCTTCTGAAAACGTGTGGTCACACCGCTTGGAAGAGTAGGCCTAATACAATCGGTGGGGGCGGGGGGAGGGGGGGGCTCTTTTGAGCTCTCTCAAGTGGGAAGGCCCTTCCGCCAGCAGTGGCATGAGCAGCCAACTACAGGGGCTGCGCCCTCTTACCCTTGTATCTATGTACGAGCCGTGTTTCAAAATCATCTCAAACCTCCCGTGAATCACGTGATTTCTGCATGGCACAACCCCCCCCCCACCACCACCACCACCACCACCACCGCGCCCACATCCGAATCGCTCCCCTCTCCCCACCGCCGCCCACTGTGAAAACAGACTCTTCCGCTCGCGCCTCTCTCATCTCCCTCCCGGCTCTCCCTCTCCTTCTCTCCTTCCACTCTCATCGTCGCCCTCTCGTCATCCCCCGGCATGTTGGCCCGGTCATTCCCTTTTCCCCACGTCCTCCTGCAACCGCCCGCCGTTCCTCCGTCGTCCTTCCCGCTGCTCATCTCGGAGCTGTGCCCTCCACCTCCGCCACCACCTCCTCCCGTGTTCCTTCCCCCGCACCTCCGATTACAGGCGCGGGGTTGGCTCACGCAACGGTGCGAAAGGATTTCAACGTACGTCTCGGCGGCTTCCGTCCCGGCCTCTCGTTCCCTTCCACCGCTCACCTTGCCCCCCAACCCCACCCCACCCCCCACCCCGGCCTCCCCCTCTTTTGTCTGATGCCTCTTTTGTCTGGCAACCGGCTCACCCAAACCCTCCCCCTTGGCCGAGGTGTGGTGCCACGGGTAGGGAGTTGTGTCGCGAATAATTACAGTGCGCGCAGCTATAGAATATCAAAGAAGAAGGGGGGTGGGCGCGGGGGGAAATGTCTTAAGAGAGAGAGAGAGATAGGGAGGGGAGGAGGGGGGCGGGCGGGGGGGGGGAGCACGGCGCGCTTTATACATCGCGTATCGGCGGAATCTTTAAGAGACTCGGGCAGCTGCGATGGGAAGAATGACTTTGTGTTTTGGCAGACAGGCAGCAGCAGCAGCAGCAGCAGACAGCCCGTTTGAGAGACTAAACAATGCCATGCTCATGATCAGTGCAGCATTCTGCGCATGTTTGCGTGTGATTTGAGCACGTGCCCAGGTGTAAACGTGCCTGTCTACGTTGGTGTGTGTCGGCATGTCCGTGCGTGTGTGTGTGTGCGCTATGGTCCGTGTGTAGTTTTGGCTCTGTGTCCAGGCGTAAATGTGCGTGTAGGTTGAATTTTGCGCGTGCCCGTCAACGTGACCTGCCAGCGGGTTTTCAACCCTTCACTTCGCGCGTGAATTTGTTCGCGCGCATTTGTTGTGTTTGGTCGCGCCTGCGTGCGTGCGTGCGTGCACAGACGTGTGTGTGTGTGTGTGTGACCTCCTGTCAGCGGAGCCTTCGACGCTTCACGTTGACCTTAAAGCGCACATAGCCTGGCACAAGTGCCGTGGTGGCGTCACCGCCACTTGGCGGTTGTTGCTGCGTGCGGGGTTCGGGTAGCGCAGTGGTTAGCACACTGCGCTTCAAGCCCAGGTGCCTGCGTCAGATTCCTGGTCCCCGCTTACACAAGTTACGGAACATCTGAGCCGGTGCTGCGGCCTCCTCTTGTCAAATTGAGCCTCATATGGGTACAGTATCCGCGCTGGGTCTTTCACAAACACCTTCTTGTGAAAGACCCAATCGCCGAAGACCCATGGGTTTGACCTTCCACGAAGCTGATGGTCCCACCCTAAATAGCATCCACACATGCCTTGGCCGATGCGGATAGCTGATGCACAAAAGGAAAATTAGAACCTGTCCTGTAGCGTGCGACTGCGATAATCCAGAACAGACCGTACGATGTGTAGCGACGCAGTGCCCCGATCCACAAATACGGAGGAGACATCACAGCGATACACTACTCCGCTGCTCCTGACGCGGTTATCTGACTCGACAAGCTGAATGTGAAATTGTAGTCGTTGCTCTGCCATCTACATCAGCCATACGGAAGAAGAAGAAGTGTGTCAACACTAGCACTGGGGAGACAAAGGCGGCTGGGCATAGTTCTGTCAACACCACCACCACCACCAC